TTTTAGTTTGTTTCTGTACTGCACAATAACTAAGTTATCTGGGCAGTGTATGACAATTCGTAAAACATAATAAAATACAATATAAAATAGAAATAACTCAAAATCAATATAAAATGTCACTACAAAGATTTAAAAAGCGAATTTTAAATAACTTATAAAACTAAGACAGGTTAATGAAACAGCTAACAGAAGCCCCTGCCCCATGTTCTATTTGGAGATTTCAAATCCCTTGAATAGGAGGTAGTCTTATCTAGATGCTGAAAGCATAGTAGAGTTAGCACCAGGCAGGTCTCGGTAAGGAGTTTGCTCAAAGGTGTGCAGAGGGGGGTTGTCCTTGTGTGTTCCTTGGAGGGGCTATCTCTTGGAGGTGGCATTGGTCCATCTAGTCCAGTACCATCAATTCCAAAGGCAGGAGTTCCCCAGCGTCTCTGATGGAGGCCCTGTATAGAACCTGGTGCCTCAAAAATTTTAATTTGCCCACCAGTGTCATGTAATGGTTAAAATGTTGGACTGAGACGTGGGAGATGTGTGTTTTTGCCTCCATTCAGCCATGAAGCTCACTTTGGGCCATCCCTGACTTCTGACCTAACCTACTCCACAGGGTTCTTGTGAGTGTAAAATGTAGAGAGGATTCTGTAAATCATCATGGGTTCCTTGCTGGGGAAAGGCAGGATATAAAATACATGCACACATACATACATAAATGGGGTGCCATGGATTGAACCTCAGACATTCTGCAAATGAAGTATGTATTTATTATTTATTTATTTAAAACATTTTTATGCTGCCCCCATCGCAACGAAGCCTTAGGGCGGCTCACAACAGAAACAAAATACATAAATACATAAATAATAACAATAAAAAATTATTTAAAAACCCCCAGTGCATCTCAGCTAAAAATTTAAAATCCTATAAATACAAATAATTTAACAATTAAAATAAGTTTTAAATAAAAAGGTCTTAGCCTGGCGCCGAAAAACAAATAGCGGCGGCGCCAGCCGGACCTCTCTGGGGAACTCTTGCTCTAGCCCTTTAGTACAATTCCCACCCATCCCACAAACCATTTCAGTAAGCTAAGTGTACCGGAAGAGTGTGGCCAATGCCCTATGGCTAAGTTAAAAGGGATGGGGATAGATGGGAAAGAGAATAGAATTCTCAGAGTAAACCTGTCACAGTCAAATGTTCAAACAATTTCATCAATTATCCTTTTGCTGGTTTTCTGACTTTAGAAAATGTTAACCATGACATTTAGAAAATACAGAAGCAGACAAATTAAAAAGGAAGATTAAACATTACTTTACAGTTGTCTGAGTACAAAGAAACAGGAACCTTTAAAGTTTTTACTCATTTTTAGCTGTTTCATATTTTCTCAGAGCATAGAAAAAGGATTAAATTTCAAGTTCTTAGAATCACTGCAGTTTCCTGAACAATTATAGAAAAACATGGCAGTACCTTTTTTCTATAAATACCTTTTCTAGAAAAGAGTGTTTCTTAGAAGATTTCCCCATATAAATGACTATGCAAGCATTTAAGTGGAATTGTTTTCATTATTGTTAGTTTCCTTAGGTTGTATCTTCAAGTTTACCTTCCAATTTAGCTTGAATAACTTCTATAATTAATTTCAAAATTCATTCTAAAGTGCTATTAATTACTCAAAACTATTGTTTAAAGTTCTCATCTTTTCATAAAATCAGAAGTTACCAAAGTCATCTGCTAAAGCCTTGTTGTACATTGGTTAAAAGTACAATGCCTTATAAAAAATTATGGAAAACATATTTTCTAATAGTCAGTGTTAGTTTTTGACTTGATATATACTACACTTTAAATCACTGTTATCATAATTATCATTATTTGTGTGGATGAAAAATGTCTCAAGTACCTAACATTCAATCTCAGTGATCTACTCCCAAAGTCATAGCAAAAACTCCACAAGTGAATTTCTTCATGATTCATTGTTACAAAAAACCTCAAAAAGTAATAAATATTGTATACTTTTCATGAGAAACAACTGGGATATAAAAATGCAAGAGAAACAAGGTAGAATTGTTTTACTGCAGGAAAGAAGTCAAGGGTCAACCCACTTCAAAAACTATCACATTGACCTATTAATTCTGTAATGAGGTTCAGCTTTCATTGCAAGGTTCTACCCTGCAAAAGCACCTGTGCAAACACATCCACACACATGCCTTTCTTCTCCTTCCCCAGCAATACTTGGCTGGCTTATCGTATTGTTTTTATGAACTCTGGCATGGATGCTCAAGTACAAAATGCATGCTCTGCCCAAACAACATGGAGTGTTCATGCACCTACTCAGAGCCAGTTCTGGCCTCCAGTGGGCCCTGGGCACAGTGCTGCTTATGGCCCACCCACTTTCCCAGCACCAAACCCCTCCCACAAGGCAGTGTCTGATTGGTCCTGCTACACAAAACATCAGGCAATCAACGTTGGCATTGGGCTCTATAGGCTGGTCGCTCAAACTGTCATGGCACTTTCTTTTTGCCAGTGGGGCCAGCTGGGGAAGGAGGAGGGCTGGAACAGGACAGAAAGGAGCGCAACGACAGAAGCTAAAGCAGTGGCAGAGCTGAATCTCTTTGAGCTTCTGGGGCCTTGGCAGCTGCCCACCTGTGCGGATCTGTGATGTTAGAGCCGCATTCTTCATTTGCTGTGTTCCTTTCTAAAATATATACAAGCAGGATTTAATACTCTCCCAAATATACAGGTGTAAACTTGATAAAGGGTAGGTGTATTTTGTACCTGGAGATCCATTCTATTACAAAGTATCAGTACACAAATATTCAGTAACAACTATCCATCTACACAGAAAGGATTCTTTATCCTAAAGATACTTTTCACGTATCTCAAGAATAAAAAATTTCTTTTCCCTTGTAGTTTCACCTTATGCTGCAACATAGCAGATTTTGAAGAGCATTTGCGCTCTCTCTTCTTGGCATGTCAGTGTACTTTTTCCTTATAGCATCCTATGCTCTACAAGTTGTAAACTTGGGCCTGGCATGCATGTCTTGAAATTTTGAGAAAGAGATAAGACAAGTTGGGCTTTTAGTGTAACCCTTCTCTGATTTGATGTTTTTGCACATTTATCCAGGTCAGTATGTGCAAAAAGTCACCTGAGATTATTGTTATATCAGTGAATATATTGCCATGAGATGAAACATGGCGCTGTAGAAAGCAGAGAAGATTAAGGAACATTCTAGGTGTAACGAAAGAAAGTTTTTATGGCATAACTTTTTCAAATATATTTGCATTTGTGTTTGCTATATGGTATCGTATCATAAATACTAATACAAAAACTGCAGCTTGCATGCATGAATCTTGAAAGAATATAAATACAATACAAAGGATGATTTAGCTCATCTTTAAAAGGTTTAGGATAATCTCTGTTTTATACCTTCTGAAGTATATTGAACTAGGCTGACACTGATCTATGGCCCCATGAATCTAGAATTACTTGGAATCACACATGTAACTTAATTTAAATGCAAGATAAATTTCCCAGTTGCTGCACTTGCAATAAATAATTACAAAGAAAACTAACACTGCTTGTGCCCAAAAGATTCACTATATAATTCCAAAATGCATAAATCTTAAGGTAGAGTTTGGCAATTTTTGTACCTTCAGATGTTTTGGCCAACAATACCCATCATTTCTCTCCATGGGTTGTATTAGCTAGGGTTGATGGAAGTTATGTGCAAAAACACCAGGAAGGCTACAAGTTGCCCATCTGTGCCTTAAGGAGTCAATGTTAGGAAAAGATCATGCAAATAATTATTTTTAGACAAATGTCTTTTTGTTTTTAAAATATCTCAAGTATATCATATTAACAAATAGTTTAAATAGTAATGCAACATAAAATTGTTTGAAAATGTTCCATGGACAATGTACAACACATACATTCTGCCATGTAAAAAATCAAACACATTTAAAAATGTAAAACATATTAAAGCATTCCAGAAAAAGTTAAAGCCAATGTGACCTTCTGCTGTAGTTGCATACATAAGGATTGCATCCAGAGTACACCACTAAGTGGAATTTATGTCGCTCATGACTCCTGTGCCCATTTATTTTAATGGATTTACCATAAGCATGACAAAGTTTGGATCCAACTCATAACCTTTCATGCATCAGTGTGTAACCGCAGCTAGTTTGAAATATTACACTAACCATACAACCCTATACATGTCTACTCAGACGTCAACTCTAATGAGTTGCACAGGACTTATTCTCTTGAAAATGTATATAGGATTGCAGCCTAAATGGCATAGCAATGACAACAACTACCAAGAAAGCCTTGTAGTTTCAAATCGGTTCTTCAGATGTAGTTCTGAGCCTGTACTGATATTGAGCAATATCATCCTTAAATAACATCATAGAAACATAAGCATATGGCTCAACAGTGTTTAGGCTATATGAAGACTTGGGCTGGGAGCTCATTCATAGATAACAGCTTCTAACTAGGCACCAACAGAGTCTGGAGCAGAAGGAGATGGAATCAGATTGTCTGAGTCAGTAAACAACTCCTTCCCCCTGCTAGTCTTTACTTTTCAGAACAGTTACGGATGC